AGAACATTGTTTTTATGCACTATCTTATGCCAGTTGATGTAGCTGTCCCCTGAGTCTATGGTCCTTAGCCTTCAAGCATAGTATCTTCATGCTGGGAAGTGTTTGGTTGTGCATAATAAGTTTCCTTGACTGTGCCCCTTACGTGTTCTGTTGTTTATATGAATAAACATGCAACATCTACAAATATGTATGTAGAGATATCCGCAACCTAACCTATATCTGCAGGTGAGTGTGCTCTCTTACGCCCTCCCACGCCTCTTTAGCATACCTGTTTACCTATGTATATTACAATATACATAGACCGAAGAAGAATTGACGCCTTTTAATTATGGTGTTGTCGAAGAACATTGAATATACCATGGACTGTCAGAAGAATGAACAAATCTATCTTGGAAGAAGTACAGTTGGAATACTCCCTAGGAGCAAGGATGGCAAGACTTCATCTCACATACTTTGTCATGTTATCAGGAGGGACCAGTCCCTGGAGAAGGACATCATGCTCAGTAAAGTAGAGGGTCAACAAAAAAGAGGAAAAGCCTCAACGAGATTAATTGACCCAGGGGATGCAACAGTGGGCTCAAGCATAGCAACGATTGTGAGGAAGGCTCAGGACCGAGCAGTGTTTCATTCTGTTGTACATAGGGCCGCTGTGAGTCTGAACTGACTCGATGGCATCTCACAACAATCTACCTATGTATCCCTTCGTAAATTATTGTTTGTTAATACTGTTGTTGCAGGATTGTCTATTGCTGTAGTTGTCCTTTGTTCTTGTGTTCCTTCCCGTGTCTTCCTTTGCCTTTGTCGTGTTGTGCTTACTTCTCCCATATAGTGCATTGCCCTTCCCTTCACCAGTACTACCAAATGTCTTCTATTTAGTAACTTACCCTCCCTCTCCCCGTTCCTTGGTAACCATCAAAGAATGTTTTTTTCTGTGTGTAAACCTTTTCTTGTTTTTTTAGAATAGTGGTCTCATACAATATTTGTCCTTTTGTGATTGGCTTATTTCACTCAGCGTAATATCTTCCAAATTCATCCATGCTGTGAGATGTTTTGTGGATTAGTTGTTGTTCTTTATTGTTGTGTAGTATTCCATTGTGCATATGTACCACAGTTTGTTTATCCATCCATCTGTTGATGGGCGCTTAGGTTGTTTCCATCTTTTTGCTATCGTGAATAATGCTGCAGTGAACATGGGTGTGCATATTCTATTCATGTCACTGCTCTTATTTCTCTAGGGTATATACCTAGGAGTGGGATTGCTGGATCATATGGTATTTCTATTTCTAGCTTTTTAAGAAATCACCATATTGTTTTCCATAGTAGTTGTACCATTTTACATTTCCACCAGCAGTGTATAAGAGTTCCAGTCTCCCCACAACCTCACCAGCATTTGTTGTTTTCTGTTTTTTTGATTAGTGCTATTGATGTGGGGGTAAGATGATACCTCATTGTAGTTTTAATTTGCATCTCTCTGAGGGCTAATGATTGCAGGCATCTCTTTATGTGTTTGTTAGTCGCCTGAATGTCTTCTTTGGAGAATTGTCTGTTCATGTCCTTTGCTCATTTTTCATTTGGATTGTTTGTCTTCTTGTTGTTGAGGTATTGAAGTTTTTTATATACTTTAGAGATTAAACCCTTGTCTGATATGTTGTAGCCGAAAAATTTTTCCCAGTCTGTAGGTTCTCTTTTTACTCTTTTGGAGAAGTCTTTTGATAAGCGTAAGTGTTTAATTTTTAGGCAGTCCCATTCTTCTAGTTTATCTTCTGCTGTTTGTGCATTTTTAGTTATGGTTGGTATACTACTTATGCTGTGTATTAGGGCCCCTAGGGTTGTCCCTATTTCTTCTTCCATGATCTTTATATTTGTAGGTTTTATATTTAGATCTTTGATCCATTTTGAGTTAGTTTTTGTGTATGATGTAAGGTATGGATCCTGTTTTGTTTTTCTACAGATAGATATCCAGTTTTCCAGCACCATTTATTAAGAGACTGTCTCTTCCCTATTTAATGGGCTTTCGCCCTTTGTCAAAGATCAGCTGTCCCTAGGTAGATAGATTTACTTCTGGGTTCTCAGTTCTGGTCCATTGGTCTATGTATCTGTCGTTGTACCAATACCAGGCTGTTTTTACTACCGTGGCTGTGTAGTAGATTCTGAGATCAGAAGTGTGAGACTTCCTACTTTGTTCTTCTTCAATAATGCTTTACTTATCCATGGCCTCTTTCCTTTCCATATAAAGTTTGTGATTGGTTTTTCCACCTCATTAAAGAATGCTGTTGGAATTTGGGTCAGGATTGCATTTTATCTATAGATCACTTTGGGTAGTATTGACATTTTTGCAATGTTAAGTCTTCTATCCCTGAGCATCATATGTTTTTCCATTTACATAGGTCTTTTTTGGTTTCTTGTGTAAGTTTTTATACAAGTAGTTTTATTTGTATAAGTCTTTTATGTCCCTGGTTAGATTTATTCCTAAGTATTTTATTTTGGGGGGTTGATCTGCTGTCTTGACAGTCAATAAACTAATGCCTTCTTTGCTTCAAGCATGAAAGACCCTCATACATCGCTTTAGACTAGGAGAAGTGTAAGGCCTAAATACATTTCAGTTAAATGAACAAAACAATTTAAATATTTTCACATAATTCTATAATTGCATGTTGACTTTCTCTCTTCCACTGCACCATGAGCTCCTTGAGAGAGGTACTGTGTCTTACTCCCTATTGGATTCCCAGTGAGTGGCACCATGCCTGGCACATAGTGGGTGCTCAGAAAATATTTGCTGAAGAATGAATGAATGTCAGTATAAGAAAGTATTTAGTGGTGTGATGTGCATCAAATGACCTGCTCCAGTGTCTGGTTCCTGTAAGCGTATGACCCTTAATCTGTCATTATGGTAATTAATAAGCTGACTTGGTAGAGAACTGGTTCTAGCCTGACTCTAGTATGTTCTCACTTGAGGAATCAGACGAGTTGCTGTCACTGCCTAAAAGTTATTATTTGGAAAATGATGAAAGGTTTCCCAGTTGGCACATTTCCTCTGGTGCCTTCCTTCATCCCTTTCCTCACTCTGTCATCCTTGTGACTCAGGAAGCTCTGATGCTTGTCTTATTCACAGGAAACCTACAGGCCATAGTCCAGTGCATGATATCTTTACTATCATTCAATCCACCCTGCAAAGCTCCAGTTAAGAAAGTTGGGGAGAGTGCTCAGCCTCTTTGTTTTTTGGTTTTGTTCTGTTTGCCTAAGGTCATTGTGATGATAGACTAAGGAAATAAACTGTATTTGTTGGAGATAGCTTTTGATTCTTTAGATCAGAGCATATGGTTACTGACCCTTATGAGAGTACTTCTTTGGTTGAGTTATTGCTTATTTTCTCCAAGATAACTTGTCTGTAATTTTGCTTTTTTAAACCAACTTTTATATGTCTTATCAAAAAGTTATTCACCAGATAATCGGCCTTGGTTTCCATCACGTGTTTCAGACATATGATTGCAACACTTGAGGGAAAATGTTCTGCCTGGTTCAAGCCTGCAAAATAAAATAACCCCAGGCAAAGAGGCTGGCCTTTCTGAACAATTTCTCTGCATACATATCTGCCATTTATTTCTTACTAGTCTTTTTTTTATATATGTAGTCATTAGCTACTGGCAATATGGGACAAAAAAGAAAATTTGCAAATATTAAATGTTAGATGCTTCATATATTAACACATTATTTAAAATGAATTTAGCTAGAAGAAACTGAGGACTGAATTTTATTTATCACTTTTAGTAAGATATGGGTCAGAATCAACTCGACGGCAATGGGTTGGTAAGGTATGAGTCAGAATCAACTTGACAGTAATGTGTTGTTTTTTTTTTTTTTAAGTAAGACATATAGCTAGGGGTAAATCAATTGATGTTTTTTATCTGAACAGTTAAAACTTGCCTTCTTCCTCATTGCCTTCAAGTCTGTAAGAAATCTTAAAAGAATTCAAAATTTGAAAATTTTAAGTGCAACAAAACTTTATGAAAATGTCAAATGGAAATTCAAGATCCCCTATAGATGATAACTAAATCTAAATACTTACATTGGAGATTGATGCTTTATTTCATAGTGCAGGAATCATGATAGAATATGTTGTCATTAGTACTCAGAACAAAATTGCATATCTGTGTTGGCCCCTATGTTCCAACCAAATGCGGTGCCTTTAGTACCAGTAGATAGTTTATGTTCTTATTTTTTTTCCTCATCTTATACAAACTAATGCTGGTATGCTTTGAGATAGTATGAAGGAAATGAGGGAAAACAACTAGGAAAATTTTTTATTAAAATTTTATTTGTATAATGAATTAAAGGTAGTATCATGAAGATGACTCATCAAACAAGGAGGAAAAAGCTGGTGTTATAACATCTATCTATTAAAAAAATCAGAAAAATAAGCCACATTGTTGTATTTAACATTTATACAGGTACGCACACAGTCTGTTGCCCTGGCTGTAGTAACTGGAGGGAAGAGTCGTACACTTTTATATTAAATATATTATGCACAGAGACTCTGCTTCCAAGTAGGAATGTGCTCAACACATACAACTTAAAGGTATACCCTTAGGAATATACATAAATATCCCTATACAATCCCTTTTTGGAATAGCAAGATCAGCCTGAGTGGGGTAGACTGTTGCTTAGATTTCAGACCTACAACAGACTTTAACTCAAAGAAGAGACAGAGTTTTATTGGCTGGCTTGTACTACTGTCTTCAGTAGTATTTGGAGAGCAAAATGATCAAGGCAATAAAAGAATCTTCTTTTTCCAGTATAGAGCTAAGCAATGTTGATGGTTACGAGGTCTTCCTTGAAGGCAAGCACCCACTCTCTCTTGGATGTGTATTCCTAGGATGTATGTTGCACATAATAGGTACCCAAAATGTTGTCACCATTATTTTTAAAATGGCACCTAAAGCACTGAATTATATTCCCAAAGCCTAACATTTATATTTTGAGCTGTTTCTTTGCTTGAACAGGGAGAAGATTCAGTTTATCCGAACTGAAGGAACCCCAGGATTGGTGCGTCTTTCAAGTGATGCAGACCTTGTTATGTTGCTGAGGTATGTAACATTAGTTTTTTAAGTAGAGATTCTCCTGTCAGCAGATATTATGGAGCATTTCAGAAAGTAATATGCTAATCTCGGTAACTCAAAAATGTATCCTTTATTCTTGAAGACTTGTGGAAACACTTATGTTGAAGATTTAGTATGCTGATTTAGTGATAATTCATTTCAGATTGCACTTCTTGTCTTTTATTTCTGCCTGATTTCTTTTTTTTTTTTTTTTTCCTTTTTAATCCTGCTGGGAAAGGAAATGGTCTCAAAGAAGGGAAGGGTTGTAGAAGGCCTGTGAATAGAATTTCCCACTCAAAACAGAAGAGTATCTGAATAAAGTGCACATGATTTACCCCTTCAGAGTAGAACAGAGATCACTTATTATTTTCTGTCAATTTATTTCTTAAAATGTGCTTTGTTCCCTTTTACTGATTTGAGACATTATTTATGGTTTTGAGAGTGTAGGTGTAGGAAATCAGACTAGAAAGCTGAAATTTGGTCATTCACTGCCAACTCAATAGCCCTTCATAAAACTGACAAAGGAGAAAAGAGCTGGTGTTATCACATATATCTATCTATTGACAGTTTTCAAAAGACTTTCTCATTTTTGGAGCCCTGGTGGCCAAGTGGTTAAGAGCTACAGCTGCTAACCAAAAGGTTGGCAGTTCAAATCCACCATTTGCTCCTTGGAAACCCTATGAGGTAGTTCTACTCTGTCCTAGAGAATCATTATGGAGTCACTATGAGTCAGAATCGATCCAATGGCAGCAGGTTTGCTTTACGCAGTGGTTGGGACGCCCACCACTGCAACCTTCATAGAATTAAAAGGGATGTCATTCTGAGCCACTCAGGCAATATTTGTTTATCCTAGAATGGTAAGGACCTCATTCTTGTTATTCATGATGGTCCTGACTCTGACCATTTCTGCTGCCTGCTTGAAACTTGCCATAATTGTAAAACTAAAGCCAAAAATTATTTTCCTTTACTGTATAGTTGAAGCATAATTAAAAGGAATGTAATCACTTTCCAAAGGAGCCCTGGTGGTACAGTGGTTAAAGAGCTCAACTGCTAACTGAAAGATCGGCAGTTCAAACCCACCAGCTGCTCCCTGGGAGAAAGGTATGACAGTCTGCCTCTGTAACGATCTACAGCTTTGAAAACCGTATGGGGCAGTTCTACTCTGTCCTGTAGGGTTGCTAGGAGCCAGAATCAACTTGACAACAACAGATAAATCACTTTCCTGACTTTGAACAAAACTTTGGACGAGGGGGGTCACCACTCAGTCTAGGGGGTGGTCCCTAGACTATGGTGTATTGAGCTAGTACTGAAAGCAGCATATAGAGTATGATATTCTCCTTTATAGTATGGTTGGTAATAAAATAGAAAGCTGTGTTACAAAACTGTGGCTGAGTTATGACTTTCACGTCATTCTAGAAATCTAAGGTTTTTTTCATTTAAACTAAAAAAAACCCTGCTTTTAGGAATATTTTTTTAAAAAATTATAAAGCAGAATTTCCTGATTTGTTAAATAATTTCCTTATTTAACAAATCTCCTTTAAGTAATCTTTAGATGGTATAGTCCTAACTATTTTAAGTTATAAAATAGCTTAGAGTATATGTACTTTGATACATGAGTTTCTATGTGTTAGATAGTTAAACTAAAAAGTATTTGAAAACTTATTTACAGAAAAAGAGCAATACCATATTTACCTCCCTTGGGGAAAATAAGCACGTTCTCTGTAGCTAATGAGCCCTTGGAGAAGCTTGAGAAATTCTCTTATATATAATAGTTCTATAACTGTTACATCAGAGCCCCGGTGGCACAGTGGTTAAGAACTTGGCTGCTAACCAAAAGGTTGGCAGTTTGAATCCACCTGCTCCTCCTTGGAAGCCCTATGGGGCAGTTCTGCTCTGTCCTGTAGAGTCACTATGAGTCAGAATTGACTCACTGGCAACGGGTTTGGTTTTTGGTTTTATAACTACTACACACAAATGATGTTATTCAATATTATACTCTTATACTATAGTGATCAAAATATATTTATTATTTTAAGAATGGTACACAGTGACACACTGTATTACATGTGCATGCTTTATAAATAATATTTAATGATTATTGAAAAATGTTGAGTTTTATACATATCCTCAGTTCTTTATTTTTTTATTTTACTTTGAAATTTCATTTCTTTGAATCACTGACTCTGTAAACTCAAACAACTGTACTTGCGGCATATATCATGGGAGCCTTGTGTCTTTTTTTTAAACTTTGTTTATTTCGTAAAGAGGAAAATCACTCTTGATACAGATGGACTTGATTATCAGTAAGCTGCAATGTAAAGATATGGTATAGCTCTAAGAAATTGTTCTATTTAAAATAAACCAGCATGAAGTTATTTTCCAATGTCTATTATGAAGCTAAGGAATTTTAAAATTATCTTGTTACTTTTATTATTGATTATTCTACCTCATATATTCTTTCAGTAACTCACCTCATGTAAAAATGTGGCTCTACAGAGGCACTCACTTATTTTCCTGAGTTTCACTCATTGTATAAATAAGTGGTGATCTTATTACCATGGATAAGCATAAAGAGGAGCCATCTTTATTTATCTGATTTGTGAACTTTAAAATATAACATTTTGACATATTTCTATATTGAAGTACTTATGAAGTCTGTTGCAGAAAAGCTTTTATACAGTCTGCTTTATGAACATAGAATAAATAACACTTTATAATGTTTCTTCATTTTATGAGCTCACTAATTTCATTATTATGCAAAATGAGATCAATGTTCCCGAACTTTCTGATACACAGCACCTTTAGTATCTCTGATTTTTTCACAGTGTCCTGTACCAAAAGAAATAAATTCAGTTTAAGTAGTTAGGTCCAAGCAACTTAATGAGTATTTATATCCTAACAACTTAGTAGCCAATTAAAGATATGATATACATAGATTGAAGGAAAAATAATATTTTTATTTCATTCTTGAATAATCACAGTTACTCACACCTGGGATGTGCGCACTTGTTGGTCAGTGTAAAACTTCTCAAACTTGGAATCAGACTGTATACTGTCACCTACGTTTCTGTTCCATGTTAATTTTCCTGCAGTACTTGTTTTTTATCACAGCAAATGCCCAAAACCTAGCTTCACAAAGCTATGAACTACCTTGAGCTAGTAGTTTACACAGTGTTCAAAACTTAAGATAGCCTGTTTGGGTGCATCACATCTATATAATTTTTAAAAATCCATAAGGCAAAACTATATATTGTTCATATACGTATTATATATAATTATTTTAATTAAAAACAAGAGTTCTCTTATTATTTTTATTCTATTTTGTCAAGTGTTTATGGATTTGAGTAGTATTTGAGTAGGATTTGAGTAGTATAATCAGTAGTACTTTATTATAATATTTAATAAAATGGGATTTCAAGATCTCAGGTCCCTTGGTTACTATCTTTTAGAAGAGTATTAGAAACAGAAATTTCAATATGGAGGAAAAAGAAGACAATTGAATAATCTCAGGTCAAAATCATGACATTTTGAAAACAGGGTATAAAGGAAGCTAATTATTTAGGAGTTGTAATTATTTAGCAGGTGTTTTGTTTGATTTTTCTTTTAATTCTCCAGTTAAACCCTAAGCTCTCTGAAGACTGGGACCCTGCTGTATATTTCCTGGAATAAAAATGTCGAGCATACTTTGTGTATTTATTATGGGCTCTTAATAAACATTATCTATTGTGTTTGAATCTTGTTTCCAAATCTATAAACTCAGGTACTATTTTCAGATAAACACTTAAACTCAAACTACATGTTAAAGTGGTGAAATAGAAATCATGTTGTCCAAAGTTGTAGGCAAACTAGCAAATAACCACAGGTTTTACGAAAGTGATGACAGTCAGCTCTTTTGTCCCAAGGATTACCTGCAGGAGAAGGGGCAGGTGCTCCCTTTGGGATGTGAACTGGACCATGGATGGAATGGGTCAGAGTGAGAGACTGACTATCCTACTCACTGTGGAAACAAGGTCCCCCTACCCCACACTGCTTTGGCTAAAACATGCCTTTTGTGTCTTGTCTTTCCCCAGTTTATTTGAAGAAGAGATAATGTCATATGTGCCTCCACATGCCTTACTCCACCCCAGCTACTGTCAGTCCCCACGTGGCTCCCCTGTGTCCTCTCCTCAGAACTCGCCAGGTGAGTCCACGTGCTCTTTGCAGGGAATTCTTGGGGGAAAGAGCCCTAATGTGGGACATTCTCTCCTTAATAAAGGGTACACTTAAGATATATTTTTTAATGTTAGCACAAGTACATGTTGTGTGTCATTTACTGTCTCTTAGAATGACCTTATTTCCATGAGAATTCATTTGGACAGAAAGGTAATGAAATTCCAGACCAGGAGCATAAATGTTAGTACTGTGATATATTCAGAAATAGAATTTACTTTTCATTAAGTTATATTGTGCCTAATGTATCTTGGAAATATGTGTGCACAAAATACTATGTTAGCTCTTTGGATTTAAGAAGTTCTAGTTAGGAGACCAATTTGATGGCTATTAAAAAAAATCTCAAGAAATAATATAGAATTGATGGATATTTTACAACTTTCAAGAAATAATATAGAATTAAAACTGGTCAGTTTAGTGGACTTGGATATTTTTCCCTGAAATACTCACCAACTTTATTAGATAGGAAGAGCAGAGACACATGGGCAGATAGAACATGTTGACAGATGAAACAACCTAAAATTTGTAAGTTCAAATTTGTTTTGAAAGAGATGATATGAATGATGGAGTAGATGAATGAATGAATGAATGAGAGAAAAATGCATCCCTAGCACATGTTTTTTTAAAGCAAGGTTGTCATGATGTTGACAGAATATCAGCTATGTTTATTATAGACAATGTATTGTTCACACTTTAACAGCTGTCAGAATTTAAAACTATTTTAATAGAAACCCAAACTCCGTATGTGTCATTAAAACCTGCTGTGTGTTCTTTGATGTAGAACATGTGTATTCACATACTGTTATGCCAGTAAAGCTGCAGCCTAATTGAATACCACGAACAGGAAAAGCTCTATTAATGTGTTCATTGAACTCGTATTTATTGAGCATCCAACTATGATCCAAACACTGAATTAGACCCTAGTGCAACAAAGATGAATAATACAGTCTCTGCCTTTGAAGAACTCATGGTGGAGCAGTGGAGGCAAGTGAGTCAACAAATGACTCTCTAAAGCTCTGTGGTTAGTCCTGTAATGAAGATCTGTATGGGAACACAGATGTGGGAACAATTATTTCTTTAGAGTTGAGGACCAGGTGTTTGTGGAAAGATAAAGACAACAGGTATAAAGTGGAGCCTTGAGGGATGGTACTAGGAATCTACCAGGTAGACCAAAGGAAGGAGGACATTCTAGGTAAAGGGACAGCATAAGCTAATCCATAGAGGCATAAAAGTAGTTTATAGCAAATTAATGAGTACAAGTGAAGGAAGTTCTCAAAACTTAGGCTAGGACCAGTTGATCACTGAAGCCTTTCTTTGTATGAGAGAAATGAGTTGGGAGGCTGTTGTGTTAACACAGATGATACGAAGGGCTTGACTAGGCAGTGGCAGCGGTAATGGAGATAAGGTGATGAATTCAAGGGATGTGTAGAATGGACTCATCAGGATTTGGCATACAGGTAGGATGTAAGAGTTGAAGAAGAGGGAGGAGTCAAGGCAAACTGAGTCCCATCCCCCCACCCTCTTATACTGCCCCCTCCCAACCCCGCAACTAGACTACCAAGCAGATAGTAACACCATTCACCAAGAAAGGAAAAACATTAGACTAGAGAGGAGAGGTCAGATGCGTTTGTTTTTGGATATGTTTTGTTGAGGAATCTGAACCACCGACCTGAGGGTACCCAAAGATAATTGGAAAAGACAGTCACAGAGCTCAGGGGAGGTGGGCAGCTAGGAATATAGGTGTACTGCAGTGAAGATCAGAGGAACCAGGGAGGACAAGTCAGTGAAAAGAGGAGAAAATAACAGGATGGTAACATGGAGGACCCTGGTATTTAAGGGTTGGGCTGAGGTAGAGGAGCAAGTGAAAGAAAAAGAGCCAACAGATTTTGGGGGAGAATTAAGAAATCTTTCCAAGGTATCCAGGTTTTGAGGAGGAGATAGTGATTAATAAGGTCAGGTGCTCAAAGGTTAAGGAAGGATGAGGTCTGAAAAGAGGCCATTAGATTTGAAAACCATGAAGTTATGTATGGCCTTTGTCCAAGCAGTTTCCATGAAGTAATAGATTATAAACTGGATTGTGACCAGTTAAAGAATGATACAGGATGTAGAGTGTAGAATATACTTTTCCTGAAGTATAGAAGTGGAAAGAAAACACAATAGGACCATAGTTAGAAGGATAGGAAGAGTTAAGGGAGGGGTTTTAGGATGGGAAAGTTGAGCATGTGTGTGTACAGAGGTCAGATGATCTGGATGAAAGGAAAGTGGTTTATTGAATGGGGCAAAGAAGCAACAGCCACCAGCGCACAAGCTACAGAAAGACTGGGCACTGGAATCAAAAGCGTAGATCAAGTTGGAACAAAGTAGGGACACCTATTTTGAATGACACATGATGCAAGGAACTAAGTATACGAGACTACAGGTAAATTTAAAGGTGTAAGGAGGGAAATTGTTGAAATTCACAGCTGGCCTCAGTCACTTACCAACTGTGAGACTTCGGGCAATTTACCTCCCTCACTGAACTGGAATTTCTTTTTCTGTGAAGTGGGCATAATAGTAATCATCTCCCATGGTTATTTTGGGGAGATCACCCAGTCTGGCGTCTGGAACATAACAAGCAAACAATAAATTTACTTATCCTTTTTCTTCCTTTCTGGATAGTATTCCAAGGAGTATAGTTTGTCAATATTTAAACCATGAATAACTGGAAGAATCCACTTCTCCCTGATATGCAGGACTGGCTGCCTATGTATTGTGAATGGTCTTTATCTTAGCAAGAGCCTATGCTGAAGTTTAAAATGGGTTGTCCTTTACCTAATGCTTTGTGGTTAAAGAAATGAAGCTGTGTGCAGTGTGGCTTATGCCAGTCAAGGCTCTCCAGGCCTTGTCTGTGACCCCATCCTTCCTGAAAAAAAGGCAGATCCCCAGATTCTGTCTTCTCTGACCCCTGTGGAGCCATGCTCTTTGAGACTGACTGACATGTCTCTGCATGAACATGCTCAATGGTAACTAAGTTCACTTCTTCATTTAGCACCACAGATGCGTATGAGTAATCCATGGTGGTCATAAAATACATTCTGGAAACTTAGATTTTTAAAGTTAAACATTTTCCAAAGGCATGTATAACCCAAATCTGTCTAAATTGCTAGCGATGTTTGTCATGTTTTTAATTTTCAGGAAGAATCATCTCCATATTTTTGGCCTACTCTGTTTCATTGGGCATTGTGTGATCTTGAAATTGGGATGGACTGCCTGATATCAGTTGAAATAACTATAACTAATTCCACATGATTCAAGGGCAGGCCTGACTAACCTTGCTTACCCTATGGAGAAATCGCCTCAGTTTCTTTGAGTAAAATAGCCTTTCCTTTCGCCAGTATTCCTAAATTTTTTGTGAAAGCAACATTTCAAATGTTCTAAAAAGTGTTCTGCTGCTTCTTCTTGTGGCTGGAATGTCACCATTTTTAGTGGTGTGAGACTAATATTGGTAAATTATGACAATAATAAATTGTAATGATCTTCTTTCTGAACCCCTAGTAACCAGGTAAGCTTTCCACCCTTTTCCTCATTCCAAGCACATGTACATGTCTTTTCAAGTACAGAGATCAGGGAAGCGGGTGGGGGGCTTTGGAAACTTTGACTCACTGCTTTTTGCAGCTGTTAGAGTGCTCACCTAAAATTTGTCAAAATTTTGCAATGTGAAAGTTTGTTTTTCTAGGACCGTTATAATGTCAACCCTGACCTCAGCTATGCTAAAAGGAAAAGATCTTTCCAAACACCGTATGGTTTAGTAAGCCAAATATGGGACCCAGAAATGTGAGCATCTTTTGTAGCTGCACATTTCTAGGAATTTAAATCAATAACACCTAATTTATCTAATATTGTTGGAGATGTGCTCACTTACATGAATTTTCCAGGTAACTGGAGCTGTGATTTTTTAAGTACCAGAAAACATTTGTTTAACCCGCCATTTGCTGAAACCCTTTCAAAAATCCGCTATATTTTCCCTGCTTTCCTATGCACCATACATTGAGGATTTGCCAGATTGTTTTGGATCATTGTGACAGTGAGTTATGGTGCAGAGCTGTTGTTACTTGACTAGAACTGGAGTGCCTAGAAGCTAGTACCAGTACCAGGTCACACTCAACAGAAGTAAAGCAGACTCAGATAGCACTGAAGACCCACATGGGTCTTTACTGAAGGTTGTCTTGAAGGAATGGATGTGAGAGGAAATTATTTCTCCCAAAATGTAATGTGACCCCCTGAGGATCCTCTTTTCCTATCCCTTCCTTTCCCCAAAATGTTAGCATCTTAGCAGTCACCCATCTCATTGCCTACTCTTTTCAAAAAAAATATTCTCTCTCTCTCGTTCTCTCTCTCTCTCCCCGTTTCCTTCCCTCCCTCTCTTTCTTTCTTCTTTCTCCCCCTTTCCTTCCCTCCCTCTCTTTCTTTCTTCTTTCCCCTCACCTTTCCCACAGTCCCTGAAGTAGCTTTACACCTGTTTTTATAAAGAGTGTTCTATTCCTTTCTCTTTACTTAGCCCTATAAAGATGCTCCAGGACCCAAATAGCACAAATGTAGGATGCTCCCTGGCTTGTTGGGAGTGGGGGAGTTGTGATTCCCAAGACTCAAGGAAAGTTGCAGATACTGTCCTTGCCACAATATAGAGGTGTGTTGCTTGGTTTGTTTTCAGTCTCCGTTGGGTCCTATCCTGGTGCTGTCGAGGATACTCTCATCGGCATACCCTTCAGCTTTCCCTTTTTAATAAGTTGCTTCTAATTTGCCAAGATCTGAGAGATCAAATTATCAAAGTCTTTTTTGTTTGTTTGTTTGTTTTTGATAAATGGCAGGTAAATGAGAGCATCAGCAAACAATGACCTGAGGGCATTTTACTGTTCTTAGGGAGTAAAGCTAAAATGCAAGGACTTCAGTAGTGCTTGTGCTTTGTGCCATCTGTTTTAGAGGGGTTTTTGT